AGTGGTTGAGGAACACCTTGTTTCTATTTGACACTAGCCACTCCATGCAAACGAACCACCTCTCGAATAAATACTGCCACGATTGAGACCACAGTGCAGGGATGCGTAAGATAATGAAATGTGCATACTTACTCAGGCGATTCACGACCACCATGATTATCGTGAAACCTGTTGACCGTGGCAATCCCTTGATGAAATCTATTGTCACTTCTTCCAACACCTTCCCTGGTAATGCTAATGGTTGTAGTAACTCTCCTTGTGTTATGGTCAAGCACGGTATCCTCGACGTCTCTGCGCATCCCCAACCAAGAAATTTGAGCCGCTAGACGACTATAGGTCTTCTGCACCCCTGAGTATCCCCCAATCACACTGCCATGAAACTCCTATAACAATCTGGGAATATACCTCAATGTCTTTGGTAGCACAAATCATCCCTGGTGGAGCAACTACTGCCCCCTCAATGTATTCCTGGATGACTGTTCTGATCCTGTAGAATCTCAGGGTTATCTTCCTTAGCTCCTCATCCTGTTCACTTTCCTGTCTCAGGGCTTCCCAATCAAGGACCAAGGGTACCGATAGGGTCGTCTATTGGGGCTCCTCTACCTTTCTCGACAGTGTGTCAGTTGCCTTATTCTCCAATCATAGCTGATATTGAATCTCAAAATCTTACCTAGTAGCTTGAATAACCATCTCTGATGCTTCTTAGTCACCATTTGTTGTTTCAGAAGATACTTTAAGTTCCTCCGATCTGTCTTGAAAAAAAAATATTGTTCCAAAAGGTAGGGCTGTCATTATTGAATGACAAAGACAATTGCCATTAATTCACAATCATACACTGACTTCAGTCTCGCTCTAGTCGTAAAAACCTGGCTGAAGTAGGCAATCAACCACTGATCCTACATGAGCACAACTCCTAATGCGTACTTTAACGCATCCGTCTTCATCACAAATAGTTTACTAAACTCTGGAAGTGCTAATACTGGCGCGCTAGTCATGATTCTCTTCGGATGTTCAAACGTTTGTGTTGTTGCTTCCCTCCATTTGAAATTGTCCTTCTTCAACTGCTCCATCAATGACCATGTTATAATGTCATATCCTCTCACGAACTTCCGGTAGTAACCTGTGAGTCCCAAGAATCCTCTCAACTTCTTCAAATTCCTTGTTACGGGCCAATCAACCATAGCATTGACCTTGGATTGATCCACTGCTACCTCCATTCTAGTCACCACATGCTCTAGGTACTTCACCTGTAACTGTGTAAAAGAACATTTCTTCAAGTTAGCATACAATTGATGCTTCCTCAGCATCTCTAGGACTGTCCTCTGGTGCCCCACATGCTTTGTCTCTATACGTCTGTAGATTAGAATATCATCAAAGAAAATCAGGACAAATTTTCGAAGATAAGGTTGAAAAAATCCTATTCATGAGGGATTGAAATGTTGTTTGGGCATTGGTGAGGCCAAACGACATAACTAAGAATTCATAATGTGCTTAATGTGTCCTGAATGTTCTCTTGTACACATCCGATTGATTCATCTTGATCTGGTGGTACCCTGACTTAAGATCAATTTTTGAGAAAATAGTTGTCCCATAAAACTCATACAGTAACTCATCAATCACATGAATAGAAAATTTGTCCAACACCATTTCCTTATTCAAAGCCCGGTAGTCCACACTGAATCTCCAACTACCATTTTTTTCTTCACCAACTGGACTGAAAAAAGGGCTCACATTAGGCCTGATAATCTCAACTTTGAGCATCTCTCAGATCAGCTTCTCTATCTCATTCTTTTAAATCTCGGGGTACTTGTATGATATAACGCTGATTGTAGAAATACCCTCCTTCAATTTAATAGCGTGCATGTTACCCCGGAAGAGTTAACCGCTGGGTTGCTGGAAGACAACCGTAAACTGTCGTTAGAGCCACTGTAGGAGCTGCTGGATCCCTTTCAAAAACTCTGCCAACTCTGAATCCCAAATCTTCTCAATGCTCTACAACTCCACCAAGCATCCCAGTCCCACTCTTCGAATCGACTTGTCCATGGTTTTGCATAAGCTAGCATCTCTCCTCTCAACACCGTCTTTTTACCCTCTACTTGGAACTCCATCATCAAGGACTTCCAATCCACCATTATCTCTCGCAATGTTCTTAGCCACTTAATCCCCAAGATCACATATGTGCTGCCCAAACTAAATAAAGGAAGTTTTCACCACCTATAGACAATGTAGTGTCAGAACCAGCCCTTTGCAAACTGCCCGAGATTTCTCCGCCTTTCCCGCCCCTATCATGACGCCAAAACTTCCTGCAGTCACCAGTTTCAACCCTAGCTTCTCCACAACCTGATTTGAGATAAAGTTATGTGTGACCACGCTATCCACACACCACAACGACTGTTCCTCGATCCATCCCCTCACATTCATGGTGTGATTCGGGGTAAATCCCACCACCGAATTAGGGTAAATCCAAATGCAGATGCTCCTCCACTGCATCCTCTTCTGGTCGCATACTCTCTGCATCCTCCTCCTGAACTAACACAATCTGAGGAGCACTTTTTTTTCAACGGTGTCCTGTGGCGTATTTCTCATCACATCGGTAACATAATAATTTTGATCTTTTATTCTGCATTTGTGAGACGCTTGAAACTACCCCCGGGGCGGGGTCCTATATTCTTCTCTTTCAGCGTCTCTTTCTGAATTGACACTGTCTGAGTCCTTGGTGTCGTGGCTGTCAAGGTGCTCATGTAGAATCCTCCAGTGCTGCCACCTTTATTGGTCTTCTTCACTTGCTTCTTATCCTTCATCATTTGGGCGAGCTCCATCATTTCCCTCAATCCTCGTGGTCTCAAGGGGCGGATGACCGCTTGTATGTCGGACTTCAGGCCTTTTAAGAAGTTCCCATACAAGCCTGTTGCAGAAATTCCTCTCAACCTCCCTAACAAGAGCCTGCACTTCTCTCGGTACTCCATCACAGTCCTCTCCTGGGTCAGAGCATAAAATTGCTCATTTAAGTCTCCTTCCCTAATGGCTTGGAAACGTTCCAACAAACAATCGTTAAACTCTTCCCATGAGTTTATCGGATACATGACCTCCATTCACTGGAACCACGCCGAAGCCTTCCTTTCCAAGAATAATTCCACTACCATGAGCTTCTCTTCCTCAATCAACCTGTTGGTCGCAAAGTTTCGTTCCACCCGATACACGCATCCATGTGCATCCTCCCCTTCGAAGATTGACATCTTCATTTTCCTGTCCCTTGCATCTCCTCCCCAACCTCCTCTTCCTCCGGTATTTCCCCCCATGTGTTTAGGTTGGAAATCCCTCATTCGATCATAGGCATATTCCACTCCCGAATCCCTCCTTCCTCCATCGTACTCTTTCGTGCCCCTTACACCAACTCTCCTCCAATTTTCGACCCATTCCCCTCCATCAGTAGTCTCCACTCCCCCTCCTTTCGGAGTCCTATGCAGACGCTCTTGTAGGTAAGTGAGGTTTTTTTTGTTGTCTTCTCGCTCAATTTCCTTCCCTTTTGACCTAGCTAAGGATTCTTTGATCAATCCTTGGTTAGAATTGGCAGCTTGAGCGATTGGCATGACCTTTGCTTGCATCTCCATGAGCTTTTTCATCATCTCCTGCATTTCTTCTATGCTTTCAAATCCATCGTTCATTCGACTTTCAATAAAAGAAAACCTATCCTTCATGTTGACGAACCTCTCTTCCATTCTTGATTTGATTTGCCCTACCTCGCCTTCTAGCATATTCACTTTCTTTGTTGTCATCCCACCAAGATATATGCTCTGATACCAATTTGATACGCCTCAGAACCAAAATCAGCGAACAAACCACGACGAAATGCAATAAGTAGGTGGAGGGCTGCTTTTACAAAAGATCAAAGGAAACAAGATACAAAGTTGTCTACTATTCGAAAGGTAGATCGTCTCTCCCACACTTTAGATGTCGCTAGGAACACTACAAGATGAAAGAAAAACCAGCCACAATAAAACATGCATAAAAAAAAAAAAGTGAATCGTAAATTCTACCCCTAATAAAATCTCCTCACTGCATTTCAAAAACTTTCCCTCCAATCTTCTTTAATTTCTCCTTGCATAAGTGATTATGGCCCTAGTGGGCCCCACCCTTTCATTTACTTCTTCTACAGCTCCTTTTGCCCCGCTCCACTTCTTCCTGTCGCCAAGACCGGCCCCGTCTGTGGGCCGGTTATACTGCTTCCAGCCGGCCCACGGCGCGTGTAAAGGCGTAACACAATTTTTGTTCCTACAATAGTTTAATTTTTAGGACTTATATGTGGAAACTGGTATCATTGTTTAGGAACGAAGAAGTAACGATTTAGAAGTGGTTTTGAGGGCTTTGATGATGTTGCCATTAACATAACCAACCATGTAGTCGACGCTGAAGATGGGATAAAATTGGTTATGGATATCCTGATCATAATTTACTATGAAAGCTATACATAACTATCGTACTGTTTTCAAAGCAAATTGAAAGATTTAAACTCCTGATTAACTTATTTTCCCTAAGATTTTGTAGCTCTTACCAATAGTTTGTTGGGGACTTGGAGTAATCACTATAACATTGTTACTAGAAATATTTGCATTTGATATCATTTTTTTTTCCTTTCATTAACAGTCTGTTAATGTGTTCCAATTCCCTTCTATGGCATGAATTAACATTTTAATTTCGTTGTCAATATTGAATTGCGGGTGAAGGCTTGTTAAGACGAAGCAAGTTTTTTTTTAACAGTGGGTTCAGGCTTACTTACCGAATAATGGCTCTTTGTTTTCATTGAAGCTGTGCTTAATTTAAACAATTTTATGCAAACACTACTCAACGGTTATCAAAATTAATTCCCTTTAATTGAATTGGCTCCCTATATCAACTGAATTAGTTTCTTAAAATGTGGGATATTGATTAATCTTATCAACTTTTTTATGTTTTTGCCCCCTGCTTAAAGTACCTGAGTTACTATTTTTTGGTATTTACAGAAAATAGCTCTTCTTCTCAACCCAAAAACAAGACCTGGGTTGCTAGGTCAAATCATGTTGGTTCGAGTAAAGCCGCCGCTCAAACTTCACCATCTGCCAGAATTAGCAAAGGCAAAGGCAAAAGTGTAGTATTTCCATTGCCTGACCCAAGTGTTTCTGGTACTTCTGCCTCCAGCTTATTTTAATTAGCTAATTAAATTATCCTGCATATTTTGTATGAGAAATTTACTTTAAAATTTTAAAAACAAAAAAGAATTTTTGAGGCATATACTATGCAGATAAATAATATTAAATGTCATAGGATAAGACTGATTTAACAAAAAAAATGGCATCTCTCGTGTGTGCACGCGCGTGTGTAGGAATATGTTCATCTTTTCAAAGGAGCTGCTAAACCCAAACCCAAAACCCAAAACCCAAAACCCTACCCTAAACCCTAATTAGTTATGATATGTCATACTAGCTTTAAATATAATGCTAATTATTTAAATTTAAATTTAAACTTATTTGCTCATTTGACAATAAATTATACACAAGGTTATTGCATTTGAATTAAAATTAATAATCTTCATATTTTTTTTATTATAACAATCATTCATTACAATGCATCGACATTGATTACTTTTATACAGTAATAAGGGCTATTGTACATTTATTGCAGGAAAAATTGATTCTTCTTCTACCGTCTGTTTGGCTGCGCCTAATGTCTTTGACAACAAAAATAAGATGTCAAATTATATTGCCTCCAAATTAAGCCGTGAAAGGTCTCTACAATCATGTTTGGAGAAGGCTATAATTGGCAATGTCAGAGCTGATGCAGGTATGCATTTCACTTCAAAACTAAGAAACTGATTAAGCGCGCCTACTGGCATATTTATTATTATTTAATATTAGAAGGTGATTATTAGTAAAATGTATCTTCATATTGGGTGTTATTCCTTTTTTTTTTGTCCTCTGACAAGCTATTAAAGTATACATGAATCTCATTTTCCTCTCAACGTGCCATAAATCAAGAAAATCTTGTCTGCCCATTTAATTAATTCCAGCATTTTGCTCACATTCTGTCTGATGCATGATTATCCATTTCATTTCACACATTTTTCTTATATTTTTCATCATCTGTAGCTGTTCCCAATATATATTTAGGTGCATTGTAGTATTCTTTTTGAAAGGACATCGAAATGGATGTTTTTCTCAGTCATCTAACGGTGTAAATGAGTATGGCTTGAGTGAGCCTAGTGTTTGTTTGTGTTTGGCTTTATATCATCCAATTCAGAATGTAAATTTGTTTTAAATATTTTATTAAACAAGGGTCCTATTAAAATGGGATGTCCTTTTAAACAAGGGTTCTATTAATAATGAAAACGGGATGTCTTTTTTAAACAAGTGTCCTATTAAATGAAAATAAGACCCTTCTTTACATTCATTGATTTGGGTAATATTTCATCCTTGAAAACCTCAAGCCTGTAAATGTTTCCAATTCATCACTTCTTGCAAAAATTAAACCATTTCAATTGGTTTTCAAGTGAATTATAAGGTCAGACCGAGCAGGTAACTGCGCTGGTGGAGATCGCGCTGAGCAGAATATCGGATCATTTGTTAGGATAAAAAAAGAAACTCCTTATATTTTATATCTTTCTCTTTGAATGAGATCTCAATTTCAGTTTCATTAGATATCTAAAAATTAGAATCCCAGTGAATGTGATCATGACATTGTAGGTGCTTGCGATGGGCTAGATGCTACTTCCCTCATTAGTAATGGGTGGCATAGCCGTAGCAGAAGTTTCAATTTTTTTTATCCATTTCTTTATTACCCGGATGGGAACGAGAGAAAGAAAGGACGGGGGGCGACCATGCATGGCACTTCTCGGCCGTGTCTCTGAGGGATCGTTGAACGAGTGACTCATGAATGCAGCCGGGTCGGACAAGCCAATAACTTGAACACGTTCGGTCATTTTTTTGAGCAAGAACCACTGCGTGAACTTACCTTCACTATGATACGGACTCCAAGTTCTTATGGCAGAGCACGAGGAGTTTTTTTTAAGATGATGATGGGAATGCAAACACGATCGGGGTCTTCATGATCCGAGATCAGACTTTTATATTAGCCACAGTTATGTAAGCATGAGATTTTTTTGGTAGTAGCGGTGAACAAGATGCCCGCTAGAGGGAATCTGGGATTGAAAGATTCGTTCCTGTTCTTGGATTGGGCAGTGTTCGTCCACTAATTGTGCGTGGGAGGGTTGAATTTGACAAAGAAACTTTCTGATTTGTCTTCTCGCTTTTTCATCTATATCAAATCCTCCATTACTTCTTCGCCAATACCTTTGAGCTTTCTACTTTTTTCCTAGTCCATACCTAGTAGTCAGTGTACCTGCGCTACTCATAGCAGCTACCACTGATCATCCAGCCTGGTATACAATCTCTCGCCTGAGCGAACATTGACGTATTGACGGTTACAAGCAAATCCCGCCTCCCCTTTGCTGTCCGTTCACCCCCCTTCAATTAAGAAGTAACTGCATCGATTGGAAGGAAATAGTGAATTTTTTGTATCATACTTTCTTTAGCTAAATCTATTTCCACTGAAAAGGCAAAAAATATTTTTGTGCAACCAAAAAAAAGTCTTGGAAAAATCTTAATTGATTACAAGCTATTTAATATTACAAACTCGAATTTTCTTGACAATCCCATCAGTTTTTTTATCTGTTCCTTCTTTAGTCCGTCTATTTTTTTTGCTCGATAAGAAAGATTCAATAATTATTATTAAGCTCTTCTTATTGCCCAATAAGAATTCAATTTATACTGCATTTTCTGTGAACAAAATCAAATTGAAAAGTTGTGGAATGTACTCATATTTATTTAATATTTACAGGTAACAATTATGATAGTGGCATAAAACCAGTTGGAACAAGGTGCCAACTATGCAGGCTGGATCTAGCATTCATCCCTAAGAATTTTTCAGGAATCGCCCACGAACTTCCTACTGCTGCAGTCTTGCCTTGCGGCCACTGCTTCCATAAGCTGTGCCTAGAAGCTGTCTTTGGTACAGTAGAGCCTCCATGCGTCACCTGCTTGGATCGTTAATCTCTCATTACTGCTTTCATGATACCAGGTTAGTTTTTTTCAGTATTAGCTCCTTTTGGTATAGAAATTTGGAAAATGTGCAGAATTTCTTTTGGAGATATTACATGAAACAAATAATAATAATAAGAAAAAGGTTCTTATCTTTTGAGTTCGAGAAAATCTTTTGAAAATTTTAGTAGTTATTTTAAACTATTGAGTTGCAGCATCTTTAGGATGACAATATTTTTTGACATTATAAATCCCATGCATTGTTTGATGCAATAAATCATGTTGATTTTGTAATTTTCTTTTTATCTCTTTGTGAAAAGGGGATGAGTAATAATTATGTGAAATGTATGAAAAGCCTTCACTTCCTGAACCAAATCAACAAACCTCATATGGGATCCAATGTTAGGCGCACATTTATTAAAATCTAACAAAAAGACATTGGATTCTATTGCAATTGATAATTACTCGGATCCTAGTTTTGGTGCAAGCACATAAAAGGGTTGCAGATAATCAACACATGTGATAATTTAGAAATTGTAACAATTCGTTGGCTTGAGATGATGTCTTGGGATGAGAGCTTTTTGAAGAAGATTTGGTTTTTGGTTGAATCATGAATGGCTAGCAAACCATTATTTGAGATGGCTGCATGCTATACATTTTTTCTTTTGGGGCATTTACGTACTCATCATGTAATTTTTATATATTTATATATCTAATATCTATACTTTTATATTTGCACATATATAGCTCAAATCTTCAATATCACACAATTTAATGCTTACATTTCTAACACCAGGTGTGTGTGTGTGTGTAATTTTAGGTGTTGGATGTATAAATACATGAGAACTGTGTGGTATGTGTGTAAATTTTCCTTTATTTTATTTTACTTTCTTGCCATTTTGGTTTGCAAACAAAAATGTTGATACACATGATGTTGAAATTTTGGAATCGTTTTGATGAGTCTATTTTTGGTAATTTTGGCTGTAAGCACGTAATTTGGATTTTGTCATAAATTTTTAAATATATTTTTTTTTTATTTTTTTCCTTATCATTTTAATCTCAACTATTAAGTAATTGGTTTTGCATGATTTTTGCATTGTTGGAATCATCCAAACGAATTACATCATATCTAAATCATAAATTTGTGTAATTAAAATTTAACTGATTTTTTAAATAATTTAGCAATAATGATGATATTTGATTTGATAATAAAGATTTGGGAAAAATATTACATCAGGACTGACATAGAGCTATGTTTGGATTAGAATATTCAGCTGTATTACGGGAATATTCTATCTGCATTATTTCTTAAAATGATGTGTTATTCGAGTGGAGTATTATATGGTGTTATTCGATTATTTTGCGGTGTTATTGGAATATTCCCCTGTGTTACTTGATTTGAGACTATTGATTTGAGACTATGTTATTCGACATATTCCCTGTGTTATTTCAATTTCTACTATGTTATTGGAATAACAAAGTTTCAAATCAAGTAATGCGGGAGAATTTTTCAATGACACTTCAACTCTCAATCAAGTAACGCGATGAAATATTCCAATAACACCGCAAAATAATCGAATAACACCATATAATACTCGAATAACACATCTTTTGAACAAATAATGCAGATGAAATATTTCCGTAATACAACTGAATATTTTAATCCGAATATAGCTCTATGTCAGGAGTCATGATGTAATATTTTTCCAAAGGTTTGAGTGTTATGTATGTAAATAAAAAAATTAGCTGTACATAAGAATCATGAATTAAGTATGCAAATGGCCCAAAAAAATATTGTTCCAAATATATATATATTACAACATTTATTTTGATATAAATTCTAAAAAAATATTTTCTTAAAGCATAAAAATTTAATTTAAGAACCTATAATCATATATGCATGTAGGAAATGATAAAATTATAGGGATGCAGACATAAGCAGTGGTGGAATAAGGAGGTGGTTGAAATGAGAAGACTTATCACCTGTAAATTTTGAGTAAATTCTTTAGTACTGTATATTATGCTAAATGTTTGGCCAGCCCAAACTTACATTATTTTAGTTTGCTGTCAATCTCTTTCTTTCACTTTTCAAACTCTCACTCAAATATCAAAGTTTACTGGCAAAACAAACACATATCACACGGATGGTTAATTTATAAATATCAATGTGCCGGGTGGTCTTTTTGTAGTTATCATATTGTTATATTAATTATCAATCATATAAACTTTTTAATATGCTTATTTATCATATGCTAATCATGATATTTTTTTTTTTGAATTGATTAATCTAATGACTTTTTATATTGAAGATGTGTATGTATTATACTTCAAGAAATATTGTATGTGCACATCTTCTAAGATTTAAAAAAAGGGATTTTATCATTTTTCTTGAGCAAAATTTATAACTTATACTACATGGGTTTAGTGATTCAAACTATTATCTAGAGAAATATAATCATGATACTGAAGTTATTGGAGGTCAAGCTATCATATATAAAGTCTCTTCCAAATCTAATTTATTGCTTATTCAGTTATTTTATGTTCAAGGCTGGCAATGTATGAGATTAAGCAAGTGCCTTAAAATGATATTGACTGATAGTTTGAAGTTGAAGAAATGATCATTAATAAAAAAATTTGTCAATATTTATTAAATTATTTGAAATATATTTTTAAGATAAATTTATTTTACGTGTATGAAATGCATTTACCTTGATTGGTTTAGGGTCATTTTACATAAATAACACAATTTTTATAGAGTTACCTATAAATATTAAACCTTTATTATATCACATGACACTGAAATCCTTAACAACATATTAAAAATATTGTTATTACTAATTGCATAAAAGTGAAAAATATTTTTTTTTTCATACAAAAGCTTATAACATCAAAATGTTATTGATATATCATCAACAAAGTTTCAACATTTAGCACGAATCTCAAGGCATAACGAGATTATCTTTTGAGCAAGAAATATTCAAACCATGATAAAAAGTCATCCAGAGCTTTGATTTCAGGAAACTTAAAGTCAAACTGACTAGCTTGGTGAGACGGATCCAACTATATCAAAATTTGTTCAATCTGAGTTAAATCAAGCTTATATCAAGTCAATAAATCAATCTTGAAAGTTTCTCGGATATATTTAGAAGGTCAAACGAGTGATTAATCTATCAAACATATAGTTGAATCGAGCGTTTCGACAAGACGAATCCAGTGAGCCAAAAATTGCACAATTTCGACATTGTTAAGACACTCAAATATCGATCAAACTCCTTTTGATCTCCGAACTGTTTTATAAAAGTGGTTCACATTCCAGCATTGATTGCACTTAGAATACTATAAAAATAGTTTCACCCCTCTCATGAGAGAAGAGTTTGAGATTTGAGGAAGAGCG